TGTAGAATGGTAGTAATAATAGCCCCTACCTCAAGGGGTCATTGTGAGATAGTACTTAGAAAGAGCTTTGTTAACCTTAAAGTGCTGATAAATACTGGCTGTCTTGGGTTGTTATCAATCACCCAGGGTAAGGTCTGACCTTCTTGAGGCACACCTCTGGGGCAGTTGCGGTTTTGACCTTCGTCAGATCACTTCTCATCTGTGTTTGGACACAAGCGGGAGGGAGGGAAGACGAGGTCTCCGGAGTGGGGAGCATTCATTTCCATTTTCCACATTCAAACAGAAGAGAGAAGGGTGCCAAGGCAGTTTCAGCCAGGTACTGCTCAGGGCACTGGCCCAAGGCTAACATCGGGGCAGCTCCCAGAGCCAACGCCTTCCACAGGCAGGCAGGCAGGCAGGCCAGCTCTCCCTCTCCTTCCGCCGAAGCCACCCTGGCCCCCAGGGCCTATGCAAGGCCCCCTGCCCCTCCTCCCCCATCCTCAAGTGCTCAGCCCTGCCCCCACCCCAGCACCTATCACACAGAGCCAGACACCCAAACACCCGCCTCCTCTTCTCCTCTACCATCCCCCTCCACCCCCTCCTTCTTCCTCCCCTCCCTTTTTCCAGTCCTGTGTCCTGGTGAGGCTTCAGGCCCCCAAAAAGGAACTCTGTTGATTTTCCCCTCCTACACACACACATATACTCCTTGGGAAGAAAGCCAGGGGACCGGTAAGTGGGGCCCTCTCTAGCTGGGCCTGCCTCCAAAAGGCCTCTGTGCATTGAGGGTGGGAGGGGGAGCTGAGCTTCTGAGGGAGCTCCCCACTTCTCCCCCCTCCTGGGCACACAGCAGCCCAGCTGCCCCCCTCCCTGGCCTCCCAGCTTCCGCCACCCTCCTGAAACCCCAGCCAACTGCCTGCCCCCGAGGCCAGCATGAAGGCACATGTCCCTGCAAAGAATGTGGCCCCGCTGCTGCCTGCCAGGAAGGTTAGTAAAAAGGAAGGGAGCTTACATCTCTCCTCCCTCCCTTGCCCCTATGGCCTCCTTCCCCCTGGGGCTGCTCTCCTCCTCCTCTCCTAGGTCAGTCTCCTCCACCCAGCCTCTGTCTCTGGGCTCTGCTCTCCTCTTTTATCTCTCTCTTTCCTTGCTAGGAGTCAGGGCTTGACGTTGGAGAGTCAGCTGGGAGAGTGAGAACAGCCCAGAATCTGGCACCATCTGCTCCTTACCTGGGTGGTCTTGGGGAAATCTTTCAGCAGCTCCTGGTGTCAGTTTCCCTCTCTGTAAAATAAAACGGTTAGACTAGATGGTTTTGGAAATCACAGACCTAGAAGGGAAGGGAGCTCAAAAGCCGTCTGATCCTAAACCCCTCTTTTACAGAGGAAGAGACAGGTCCAGAAAGGGAAGTGACTCACCTAAGGTCACCTAGGACTCTTTCATTTTTGCCTTCCTATCCCCTGCTCCTGACAGAGAGCTTCGTTTATACAATAAGTGCTTAATAAATGCTTATTCAGTTACCTTGCATTGACAGGCAAAGCTGGGCTTTGAACTCCCAAGTTCTCAGCCTCCATGGACAGTGCTCCACATTGCCACGCTGGCCTGGGGCTGGGACTCCACCGCCCTGTTTTGGGCTTAGGTGCAACCGTAATTACCTGCTAACAGCAGTGGGCTTATGTGGAAGTCTGAGTCTCACTCTAATCTGTCATAGGATTTAGTACTTAGAGGGACCTTGAAAATTATTCCTCCATTTTATAATTAAGGAAACTGAGGCTCAGTGGGATTGTACAATCACACAGGTAATATATATGAATCAAGATTGGAACTCAGGTCCTATGACTACAATTCAATGACCGTATTGGCCATATAATGGACAAGCCACTTTATGTCCTGAGCCTCCGTTTTCTCTTCTGTGAAATGGGGCTAATACTGCCTTCACTACCTGCTTCAGAGAGAAGTGCTTTGCAAACTGTAAAGAGGGTTGGGGAGGAAAGGAGATGTGTGGAGTCATTGTGTTTACCAGAGTCATGCTGCTAGCCAGCTGGGTTTTGAGGCCCCAGGATTGTGGCTAAAAGGGACTTGGTTGTTTTGAGATGGGTGTGACCAGGCCAGGCCTGCAGGAGTGGCTTTTTATGTCAGAGGTGCAGCTGGGGTCCTTCTTGACTAAATAGAAGACTGTGGCCTGTGACCCATCCTTCAGGCTTTGGGATTGAATGCAGTCCCATGATTTCACAGGAACCTGGAAACATTTCCAGCCAATGGGTCTCAATAGGAGGGGCTGAAACCTGGGGGAAGGGAGATGCTCGGGCATTGTCTGGTGACACCCCCAAAATCAGGGGTGCCCAGCCAAGATTTAAATGCTCATCTCTTATCTCCCATTCAAAGGGGCCACCCCCTTCCCTTACCTCCCTCTTGCCTTGTCTGAGGCTTATACTCTGTAGGGAAAGAAGGACATCACATCAATCGGCGAAGACTGGAAATAGTCATTGTTGGAGGGTCTGTGAGAAGATAAGCACCCTGACATACTGTTGATGGAGCTCAATTAATCCAACCATTTTGGAAAAAGTTTAGGGATTATTTGAAAGCAGTGACCCTTTTTTTTTTTTTTAATGTTTCCTTATAGTGGTTCAGTACCTGGAACAAGCAATTGTTCATTGATGGATTGACTGATTGAGAAAAGTGACTAATCTATTCATAACCTTTGATCTTGGGATATCATTATTGGATTTTTACCCCCAAGAACACTGGCAGAAAGAAAAGCCCCATTTGCATCAAAATACCCACAGTAGCATTTTTTTAAGATAACAAAAGGCTGAAAGCAAAGTGGGCGCCCAGCTGAAATTGGAGAAAACCAATGTAACAAATGATCACTGAACTTCAAGGAACACCAAAGTTGAAGAAGAGGATGTTATGGATAGACAGCTGCCTGGGATGGGGGGAGGGAATGGTGGGGAGGGGGAGGGGTCAGGGGTCAGAAAGACCTAAGTTCATGCCTTGTCTCTGGCCCTGTGACCATTGGCTAGTCCTTGAACTTCCCCTAGCCCCACTATTTCCCTCTTACCTTTCTTCTGTTAATCATTTCCTAATCATCCAATATATAGCCTGACGAATTTGTTTACACATTGTCTACTTTATTACGTTGTAGGCTCTTCCCCGTGGGGGCTGTTTCTTTGGTTTCTTTGTATCCCCAGAGCATGGTAGCATGCCTGACACTTAGTAGGTGGTTGGTGTGGTAGTTGATTATCAGTGCCCAAGGCAATGTTCAACAGCTATACGTGGAAGAGGAGTTGCCTCTCTGTATGGTTAGAGGGAATTTCCATACCAGGGCCCATCGGTTCCCCCAAACTGATTTAATGACAGTTCCAGATCCCCTTTCCCCTTCAAAGGAATGATGAATATGAAGCATATAGGATATAGAGAAAGAGGGAAAGACTTGCAGAGGGAAGAAAAAAAAACCAGGGAAAAATACATTCAATGTCTACAGTAATGCAAACAATACCACGGGAATTCAGATCAAAAGCAGTGGCCAGGGTTGGTTCTGGAAGACTGAGGACAAAACACACTGTCTTCCTTTCTGTTAAGAAATAGCAGAGAATTCCATGTGCTTCCAGGCATAGTTATCATATTGGATGGTTTTGTTGAGCTGTTTTTAAAGGAAAAGTCCCACATATATGTGCCTGTATTGGGGAAGGGGGGTAGGAAGAGTTGCTTGTTGACAAGGGATAGTATTAGAAGAGAATTTTTCAATAAAACATAAAGGGACATTGAAGTCTGGTACAGCACGGTAGAAAGAGGGAACATGCGTTTATTAAGTGCCTACTATATTGCAGGCAACGTGCTCATGCTGGATCATCACAGTAACCCTGGGAGATAGGTACTGCTCTGATCTACATTTGACAGTTGGAGAAACTGAGGTAAACCTAGGTTAAGTGACTTGCCCAGGGTCACACAGGTAGTAAGTGTTTCAGGCTGAATTTGAGCTCAGGTCTTCCTGACCAGGGTCAGTGCTCTATCCACTGGGGCCACCTAGCTGCAATAATATTTAAACAACTTCCCACATATGCCTCTGTGACCCTGGTCAAGTCATTTAACATCCCTGGGCCTCAGTCTCTCATCTGTGAAACGAGAGAGTGAGATTTGGTGATCTCTAGGCCCTCTCAGCGCTAAAGCAGCTAGGTGCAAGGGGGACAGAGTGCTGGACCTAGACTCAGGAAGACCTGAGTTCAAATCTAGTCTTAGACTCTTATTATCTGTGTAACCCCAGGCATGTCACGTAACTTGCCTGCCTCAGTTTCTTCATCTGTAAAATGGGGATAATAACAATACCTACCCCATCCCCTCTCCAGAGTTGTTGTGAGGACAAAACAGGTTAGTATTTCAAAGCACTTTGTGTGATTTGTAGGCCATATATATGAGGGCTATTATGATGACGGTACTCATCGTCATCATCATCATCATTATCATTAAATCCTTGATCCTGTGACCATATGTATCCACTGGCAGGCACACAAAATGGGCAGGACTCTCAAAACTTCAGAGCTCTGGATTTGAATTCAGAGCTGCCTCCCTTGTCCTCATCCCATCTCTGGTCTGTTCTGCTGCATGCCCAGGAGCCGAGTGGGACCTGCTTGGCCTGTCCTCTTTGATTTGGAGTGGGGGCATGGTTGAGGGCGACCTTTCCTTGTACCCATACCAACCACTGGGCCTCGATGTCTCTGAGTAACTTCCTACTTAGCTTGGGCTGCTCCATGCCTACTCTGCCCCCAAACACCTTTCATGGCTTCAGGCCACCCCAAGACGAGCTTGGGGTAGAAATGGCATTTCCTCTTGGCCAGGATACAACTGCTGTTGTCATTGATGTTCTTGGAGTTTCCTCCAGCAATGGTCAGGGCTTACTGGCTTCGAGGGTAACAAGAAACCACTTACTATCCCCCACCCGTTCCCAAGCCTGCCCACTCCATCACTCACCCCTCTCCCCTTCCTTCTTTGTTCCTTTCCCCCAATCCCCTTTTCCCCTGTCCCTAGAACAGAATGACTGAGAACCTGAAGGCCTGCTTGGCTCATACCCAGGCTTCCATGGGGGAGATGGTGACTGTGAAGACAGAGGTCTGCTCACCCCGACGGGACCAGGAGTATGGTCAGCCCTGGTAAGGCATCTCCCATCATGCTGCCAGGGTGGGCTTTTTGGGTAGGGGCTGGGTTTGGGTTCATTTGGCTCATCAAGGGAAAAGCCTCAAGTTATAGGAATCATTGCATTTGAGAGATAAAAAAGGAACCTTAGGACATAGAATATAGAATTTCAGTACTGGAACAGATCTGAGAACCGAGGGTAGAGATTTTTAAATTTATTTTATTTCCATCAATTAACAAGTATTTGATTTTTTTTTCTCCTTCCTCATTGGAAAAGAAAAAGAAAAAGAAAACCCTTGTAACACATGCCTAGTAAGACAAATTCCCTAATTAGCCATGTCCAAAAATGCAAGTCTCATTCTTCATCTTGAGTTCATCACTTCTTTGTCAGTAGGTGGGTAGCAAGCTTCATCATCTGTCCCCTTGGAGTAGTGGTTGGTCATTACATTGGTTAGGGTTCTTCAATCTCTCAAAGTTGTTTGTTTTTGCCATTTTGTTATTGAATACATCATTCTCCTGGTTCTGTTCATATGAGTCTTTCCAGATTTTTCTGAAATCATCCCCTTTGACATTTCTTATGGGACAGTAGTATTCCATTACATTTGTAATTTGTTCAGCCATTCCCCAGTTTATAGCTTCCAGTAATTTTCCCACTACAAAAAACTTCTGTAAATATCTTGGTACATATGGGTCCTTTAACTTTTTCTTTGATCTCTTTGGGATATTGGCCGAGTACTTGTATCGCTTTAGAACATAGAGGGTCAGAGCTGGAAGGGACCTTAGAATGTAGAACATGGGATATCAGAGCTAGATGGAACCTTAGAACATAAAATGTAAGAAGTGGATATTACCTATTAGAGCAGAATGAACTTAAGAACAGAGCATATAGAATATTAGAGGTGAATGTATCCTTAGAAGACAGAACAGAGAAGGCCAGAGCTGGAAGGGACATTAGAAAATAGAGCATAGAATTTTAGAAACAAAAAGATCTTAGAAAATAAAATGTTAATGCTAGAGAGGTCATAGTATCGTAGACTGAGATCTAGAAGAGATTTTTTGAGATCATGTCATTCGCACTCTCCCCCTCCCATTTTTCCCCCTCCCATTTTTAAATCAAAGAAAAGAAGGCCCAGAGAAGCTGCAGTGACAACCCTAAGGTCAAAGAGGTCCTCAGAACACAATGGGAGAGCCGGGTCTCAAGCCCAGTTCTCCTGAGTGCCAGTGCTGGGCTCTTCCCATGCTGGGATTTGTTACCACACTGCCATAGATGTAATATGTCCATCTGCCCAGTTTTGCACTGAGGCCACATGGAAGATTACTCTTAGCTCAAGGGTCTAGGCAATCCTTGATGAAGCCAAGAGACATTTTGTAGGGTACTGTGGTGGGTAGGGGAGAGGCACATGCCCTGTCCACAGGTGGGATGGGTCTGGCTTAATTAATTGGGTAGCCGGAGTTGATGGGAAGGCTAGGCTAAGACCTGGAGGGGTGGAGGCAGGGGGATCCCTGCCTGGCCACTAGCTTCTCTTCCTACCCTTAGTGCTTGGCCCAACCAAGTTCTCCTCTCTGTTTCCTTGTCTCCTTCCCTGACCTTCCCAGCTCCGGGAGGCCTGACCCTCCATCCATGGAAGTGGAACCCAAGAAGCCGAAGGGGAAGCGAGAGCTGATCATGACCAAGAGTTTCCAGCAAGTAGACTTCTGGTGTAAGTGGGGCCTTGGCTGGTGTTCCCCGCTCCCTTTCGATGAGTCTCCCTCCACCCCTCTGGGGAAGGAGGTCAGGAGGGACCTCAAGTTTGGAACACGATGACATGTTCAAGCAAGTTCTTAGAGACACTAAAAGATTATGGTGAAGTAGTAGTCATTGGCAGCTATGATTAGAACAGAGAACCTTAGAGGATGGGTGAGGAGAGACTCAGAATTGAGGAGTCAGGAGCTCCTTCTCTGAGCGTGAGCATTTTGAGGGGTGGAGTGGGACCAGAGACCAGGTCTGAGCCCATGGCTCAGAATCCTAATCAGGAAGACAACCTGGAATCATGTTCTGCAGGCTTCCTCCCATGTAGTTCTCAAGCAATGGGGAGTGTAGAAGTTGGTGGCCCCAGTCCTCCATGCAAGTGGGCCCAGCCTTGCGTATGGAGAGTGGTGATGGACAAAGTCAATCAGTCATTCAACAAGTATTAATTAAGTGCTTGCTATGTGCCAGACATTGGCCTAAGAAAGTAAAAAATACAATCCCTGCCCTCTTGGAGCTTACAGCCTAATGGGAGAAAACATGTAAACAACCACATACTTACAGGATGGATGCAACCTAAATAGGAGGTAATTCCAAGAGGAAGGAGCTAGCAGTGGGAGGAGAAGGGGCGTCAGGAAAGAGGAGGTGAAAGGGGCCATTCAACTCTAGCTTCATGGAATGTTTTAATTACAAAACCTCAAAGGTAGAAGGGACCCCAGAGACCCTTTAGTCCAACATGTTATTGTTCACTCATTTTGCAATCATGTCCGACTCTCCATGACCCTGTTTGGGGTTTTCTTGGCAAACATACTGGAGTGGTTTGCCATTTCCTTCTCCAGATCATTTTACAGTTGAGGAAACTGAGGCAAACAGGGTGAAGTGACTTACCCAGGGTCACACAGCTAGTAAGTGTCTGAAGCCAGATTTGAACTCAGGAAGATGAGTCTTCCTGACTCCAGGCCCAGCACTCTATGCACTTAGGCGCCACCTAGCTCCCCTATCCAACTCCATCATACCTGACACAAGAAACTTCATTATAAAATACCAGAGTAGTGGTGGCCTAGCTTTAGTTTGAAGACCATCCCTGAAGGGGAAGCTGCCTGCCTCCTATGGCAGCTCTTGTGGACAACTGTAATTACGAAAGTCTTCCTGACATCACGCTTGAATTTGCCTCTTGGAAACTTATACCTTGCTCCCAGGAAGACATTGAGCAGAGCAAGCCAACTCTCCCTTGTACATAATAACCTTTCAAATATTGGATGACAGGTACCATGTCTCTGCCTCTGTCTTCTCTCCTCCATGTTAACCACATGTTTCTTCAGCTGATTCTCAAATGGCATGAACTCGGAATCTTGGAATAGGCCCCCTCTAAATGTAGAAGAAAGAATGTTAGAGCTTAGAAGAGGCCTTAGAACATAGCATGTCAGAATTCGAAAAAGACTTAGAACACAGAATGTCAGAGCTGGAAGGGACCTTGGAGAATGGAA